CAGACCCTTGATCATCCTGGTCTCCCTCCTCTGCACACCCTCCTGCTTCAATGTCCTTCTTAAACTGGGGTGCCCAGAACTGGACACAGGACTCCAGGTGGGGTCTGGCCAAGGCAGAATAGAGTGGGACTATTACTTCCCTTGATCTGGACACTAGACTTCCATTGATGCAGCCTAGAATAGCATTGTCTTTGTCCATGGAGTGGACAGCATCTTAAAAAGCAGAGACATCACCTTGCCAACAAAGGTCCGTATAGTTAAAGCTATGGTTTTCCCAGTAGTGATGTGTGGAAGTGAGAGCTGGACCATAAAGAAGGCTGATCGCCGAAGAATGGATGCTTTTGAATTTTGGTGCTGGAGGAGACTCTTGAGAGTCCCATGGACTTCAAGAAGATCCAACCTCTCCATTCTGAAGGAAATCAGCCCTGAGTGCTCACTGGAAGGACAGATCCTGAAGCTGAGGCTCCAGTACTTTGGCCACTTCATGAGAAGAGAAGACTCCCTGGAGAAGACCCTGATGTTGGGAAAGATGGAGGGCACAAGGAGAAGGGGGCGACAGAGGACGAGATGGTGGGACAGTGTTCTCGAAGCTACCAGCATGAGTTTGACCAAACTGCGGGAGGCAGTGGAAGACAGGAGAGCCTGGCATGCTCTGGTCCAGGGGGTCAAGAAGAGTCGGAAACGACTAAACAACTAAACAACAAGAATAGCATTAGCTTTTTTTGTTGCTGCATCACACTATTGACTTGTGTTAAGCTTACAGTCTAGTAAGACCCCTCGATCCTTTTCACACTTACGGTTGACAAGCCAAACGTCCCTCATCTTTACATTTCTGCAGCTGGCTATTCCTGCCGAATAGAGAACCTGACATTTCTCCCTGTTGCAATTCATTTTGTTAGATTTGGCTCAGGTCTCCAATCTTGTTAAATTCATTTTGAATCCCAAATCTATCTTCAATGGCATTGGCTACCCCTCCCCATTTATTGTCACCTGCGAAATTTGAGTAGCATCCCCTCAATTCCTTCGTCCAAGTTGTTTACAAAGATGTTGAACCACAGCAGGCCCAGGACAGGACCCCGCATCACCCCACTTGCCACTGTTTTCTGTGATGACAAGTGACTTTCATCAGAAAAAGAAACAAGATTTATCTGGCATGACTTGTCTTTGCTGGGTCTTAGTAATCACAGCATCCTTTACTAAGGACTGTTGAATTATCTGTTCTGGCCCCATTAGTAGCTTAATGCAGGTGAGCAGGTTTATGTAAAAAAATTACCTGTGTAAAGAAGGCAGACTATTGCAGCTAATGGCATATGTCCCAAAAATCCATAGAGGAGAGACGTGGACTTTAAAGCCCAAACTCACATGAAGTCGTTCCCCCTCCCACCACTAGGTGGCGCTGCTTTTGTGTTCTCAGTGGTTTTCAGTTTAAAAATTCGCTGGCAATTTTTCGCTTTCCAGATGTTCTTCTTGATCCATAAACTCAGGATTTCCAAGTAGAGTGGGACTCCCTTAAATTGCGCTCCTTTCTTCTTAGGATTATTCTGACTCGCCTTCTCTGCTCCTTCTCTTTCGTTTTCTCTCTATCTACCTTTTCGGTTTCAAACAATAGCCCCCAGCATCAAATCAAATAAAAATGACCGAAGGTTCAGCAGTGCATTTTCTTTTCTCCACCCCCCCAATAATGTTGATTAATTTTCATACAAAAGCATAACTGCTTGATCCCAGGGGCCTGAACTAACTTTTGCAGGAAAGAAGTCTGAGAAACCGAGGTAGATAGTGGTGACGAGAGATGAAGTTCTAGAGGCAAAATTAATAGGTGATACACAGACTAATAAAAGTAAAGGGGACCCCTGACCATTAGGTCCAGTCGTGGCCGACTCTGGGGTATGCCTCGCTCATCTCGCTTTACTGGCCGAGGGAGCTGGCGTACAGCTTCCGGGTCATGTGGCCAGCAGGACTAAGCCGCTTCTGGCGAACCAGAGCAGCGCACGGAAACGCCGTTTACCTTCCCACTGGAGTGGTATCTATTTATCTACTTGCACTTTGACGTGCTTTCGAACTGCTAGGTTGGCAGGAAGACAGACTAATAGATAACATTAAAACTGGCAAATTTCTGGGTCCAGATGAGAGTTCTTAAAAGAACTCAAAGGTGAAATTGCTGACCTTCTAACAAAATTACTTGCCCCTATGATCAGCCTCTACTGGAAAGTAGCCACCGTAACTTTTTAGAAGGGGGTCCAGGGGGATCGTGGAAATTACAGGCCATTAGCTTAGTGTCTGACCCACGAAAACTGGCGGTAATTATTGTTAAAGATTTAAAAAGCGTATAGAAGAAAAATCTTGCTGAGGCAGAACCAGCATGCCTTCTGCAAGAGCAAGTCCCATCTCACATGTTCCTTACAGTTCTTTGAGAGTGTCAACAACCATATAGATATAGAGGCAATAGGCCTCTTCTCTTCCATGAATTTGCCTAATCCTCTTTTAAAATCTGGGTTGGTCACCATCCCAGCCTCCTGCGGCAGCGAGTTCCATAGGTTAACTATGTGCTGGATGAAGAAGAAGTCCATGAGTTCTAGTGTTACGCGAGCGGGAAGGGAAAATCTCTCCTCTCCTTTCTCCATGTCATGTGGAACTTTAAACTTCTATCTGGCCATAGAATGGTAGACTTGGGAAGGACCCCAGGGATCATCTAGTCCAACCCTGTAGCGTTCCCAAAGCAAAAGAAGGATTGGACTCTGATTAATAGAATACACACGAGGCTTGACCGGCAAGACTCTGGGAGGAGTGCGTATAATAATTCCTGCCCACCCCTTGGCCCAGGTCGTTTTATTCACAAAAGAACTTTTTACACAGTGTTCATAAGAACCAATCAGATTTCCTCTGAGCATTTCAAAAAACCCCACGTGGGACAAAGTTAAAACTACAAAGAAACTATTTCCTATTTGAGCATGCATATGTAGTTCAGAGTAAATAAAAGAGGAAGCGAGGAGGAATGCTTTTAGGAAACCCCAGAAGGTCATAAACAAGTGGTAAACAGGAGTGGCAGTATTTACCATCTCCTTCCTGGCCCTTAAGATCTATCTAAAGATTAAACTACATCAAAGTAGCCTCCTATCTTTATGTACTGAGGATGCCTGATGAACAGCTAGCCTGTGTTTTAGAATCCTTATACAGTGGTGCCTCGCAAGACGAAATTAATTCGTTCCGCGAGTTTTGTCGTCTTGCGGTTTTTTTCGTCTTGCGAAGCACGGTGTCGGGAAAGTTTTGGAAAAGCTTCAAAAATCACCAAAGTCTTTAAAAACCTCAAAAAAGGCTACCACACCGCGTTCTATGAGTTGCTCCTCGAAGTCAAGTCGCAACTGTATTAACGGTGTTAAGAAAAAGGAAACAAACTTGCAAGACGTTTCCGTCTTGCGAAGCAAGCCCATAGGGAAAATCGTCTTGCGAAGCAGCTCAAAAAACAAAAAACCCTTTCGTCTTGCGAGTTTTCCGTCTTGCGAGGCATTTGTCTTGCGAGGTACCACTGTACAGTGGTGCCTCGCAAGACGAAATTAATCCGTTCCGCGAGTCTCTTCGTCTTGCGGTTTTTTCGTCTTGCGAAGCACGGCTATTAGCGGCTTAGCGGCTATTAGCGGCTTAGCGGCTATTAACGGCTTAGCGGCTTTAAGAAAAAGGAAACAAACTCGCAAGAACTCGCAAGACGTTTCATCTTGCGAAGCAAGCCCATAGGGAAATTTGTCTTGCGGAACGACTCAAAAAACGGAAAACCCTTTCGTCTAGCGAGTTTTTCGTCTTGCGAGGCATTCGTCTTGCGGGGCACCACTGTATGTGCCTGTCAGGTGTAGAGAAAGCAAATGGCAGAGATGCAGAGGCCTGTGGGATTCGATCAGAAACTATTGTCAATGAATCAAACCCAGTCAGCGCAATGCTTTCATCTCCGACACAAGGGTTTGCTTCGTATTTCGTAATTCCTCATAGTAATCCCACCGGGCCACTACACAGCCCCCTGCAATCTCATCCAAAGCATCCGAGGCAGGGGGCCACCCAGCCCCTCCAAGGAAGGAGAGGGTTTTGTCTAAACTTAAAAAGTCCCAAGCGCAGCAACCTTCTACAAGGCAGGAGCCGGCTAGTGCGGTTCCCCATCTCCCAGCCCCGTGCCGTCGGCCTACGGCCAGGTGAACTAAATAATAATAATTTATTATTTATACCCTGCCCGTCTGGCTGGGTTTCCCCAGCCACTCTGGGCGGCTTCCAACAAAACACCAAAATACAATAACCTATTAAACATTAAAAGCTTACATTAAAGGGCTGCCTTCAGATGTCTTCTAAAAGTTTGGTAGGTGTTGTTCTCTTTGAACGGTATTCCACAGGAATACCGTTCTCTTTGACGGCATTCCACAGGGCGGGTGCCACCACCGAGAAGGCCCTCTGCCTGGTTCCCTGCAACTTGACTTCTCGCAGGGAGGGAACCGCCAGAAGGCCCTCGGCGCTGGACCTCAGTATCCGGGCTGGACGATGGGGTGGAGACGCTCCTTCAGGTATACTGGGCCGAGGCCATTTAGGGCTTTCAGGGTCAGCACCAACACTTTCACTTGTGCTCGGAAACATCAAGAGGTGATGGACTCTCCTCCTTTGGAGGCTTTTAAGTAGACATTGGACAGCCATCTGTCAAGGGTTCTTGGGTGTGATTCTGGCACTGCACATGGTTGCACTAGAAGACCTTTTTTGGGGGGGTCCCATTTTTTGGGGGGTGCCACCACCGAGAAGGCCCTCTGCCTGCTTCCCTGCAACTTGACTTCTCGCAGGGAGGGAACCGCCAGAAGGTCCTCAGCGCTGGACCTCAGTGTCCGGGTTGAACGATGGGGGTGGAGATGCTCCTTCAGGTCTACTGGACCAAGGGCCATTCAGGGCTTTCAAGGTCAGCACCTAAAGCCCCATGTCTGAGCAGTCTCCCCACTGGAGCGCATGGACGCCAACCCCTCCTCTGTCTCTTCTTCCAGAGAGTTTCTCCGATGTGAATTGAGCCGCGGAGGTCGTGTCGCGGGGGCCCCAAGGCCGAGCAGCCTTCTGGGGAAATCGCCCGTGGCTTCTGGCTCCGGGAGCAGCGCCGCTGGGAGGACCGCTCGCGTCAGACAAGGAGGCCGACTCTCCCTCACCTCCGGCCGCGCTCTTGGCTTTGCCGGTGACCCCCATCCCCGTGGCCGCTGGCAAGGAGGCGGCGTGCTGTGGGGTTGCTGCTGAGATATACAGGTATAGGGCGGTTATATTATTATTATTATTATTATTATTATTATTATTATTATTATTAGTTGTTGTTGTTCCATCTCTCCGTCTGGGAGTCCCCAATAGAGCGCCAGATTAGGCCGAAGGGGAAGCTACGAACCACCCATGCTGCGTGGCTGCAGAGTGGGCAGACGCTATTGTATTTTTGGGACAGGGAAGGAACACAAGCACACCCCCCCCCAATAATATTTATTAATTTTCAATAAACATAACACAAAAGAAAATACGCAACAACACAATAGAGAAGCGAAAAGGAAAAGAAAAAAAAGAATAACAAACTTAAAATACCTAAACGGGGGGGGGGGAGAGAAATTCAATTAATTAATTAAAATCCTTTTTCATATACATTAATTGACTTCCTCTAATCTCCTCCATCTGAATTTCCTCTTAATTTGAATGTAGCAGTTTCCAATATCATTATTTCAAAAAACCATATTACAGTCATATTCCAATTTCTTTACCTTTCTTATAGTACATTTTCTTATTTATATATTTAAATCTAATTTAATCCTAGGCCTGGTTGGTTTTTCCAAGTGGCTACATATCTTTGATGTTAGAATATTTGTTCAAATAGTCTTTAGATTTCTTCCAGTCTTCTTGGTAGTCCTCTCCTTTCTGGTTGCGGATTCTCCCGGTGAGATCAGCCAGCTCCATGAATTCCATCATCTTCATCTGCCACTGAAGCACAAGCATCTTCTTTGCTGGGCTGCTTGTCATTTGTTCTGGCGAGTCAGTGGTACGCTGGACCCAGACCATGCAAAGAGGGGCAGCAGAGGCAGTATGCCCGCCTCACCCGTCTGGGATTCCTGGGCCACCAGCCCCCCAGGCTTCTGGGCATCACATCCCAAAATCACCAGCCCTTCTGTTTGAATAAGCTTCAAGCCGTAATACGCCTTTGCTCTCTTCTCTGCAGGTTCCCTGCTGTTGTGATTGGACTTCCCAACCTGAGGGGGTGATCCAGGGCGGATCCTTGTTAAGCTATAACGCAGGTGGGCAGCATCTTTGAAGGACCCCCTTTCTCCTCCTCCTCCTCCTCCTCCTCCTTCTGTCAGCCACCCCCAGCCCAGAAGCCCAGGATCCTGAACCTCTAGTTCTCTAGAGACCCCTTTCTTCCTTCTTTCCACCTCTTGGCTTAACTCTGTAGGGATGTGAGTGCACTTTGTCTCAAACTGAGAAACCCTTTTGCTGTGGTTGCCATAATAATAATAATAATAGTAATAATAATAATAATAAATTATTTATACCCCGCCCTTCCTGGTTCAAAAAAGCGGGCTCAGGGCAGCTAACAACAAATTTAAAACCCCGTATTTTTTGCTTTATAAGACGCACCCAACCATAAGACGCTCCTAGTTTTTAGAGGAGGAAAACAAGAAACAAGAAAGCAACGCAAAGCCTCTTGAGCGAAGAGGCAGGAGCGCTCCGGCTGCGCTCAAGAGGCTTTGCATGGCCATCCCTGAAGCCAGAAGAGCAAGAGGAATCGGTGCGTACTGATCCCTCTTGCTCTTCTGGCTTCAGCGATAGCTGTGCAGCCTGCATTCGCTCCCTAAGATGCACACACATTTCCCCTTACTTTTTAGGAGGGGGAAAATGTGTCTTATAGAGTGAAAAATATGAGAATTATAAAAGCAGCATAAAAAACAGTATAAAACCATGAATAACAATAAAATTCAAAAATCAATTAGATAATCCCCAGGGTTAGCTGGCTGAGTTGGTCCTACTTGGGCCAGCGAGGAGACCAGGGGAGAATTAGCTGTGGGGTCTCAGAGCGGGTGATCTTCATAAAAGGAGAGGGAAGGGAAATAAAAGATCAGGCTGAATTCAAACTAAAGGCCAGGCGGAATAGCTCTGTCTTACAGGCCCGGCGGAAGGAGGTTAAATCCTGAAGCGTCCTTTGACACCCCTCTCCTTCTGCCACTGAGCCACCGGTTAGAGTGTCAGACTAGGACCCGGGCGAGACCAGGGTTCGAATCTCCACTCGGCCCGGGAAGCTCACTGGGTGTGACGTCAGGGGGGACGGACAGTCACTGCCTGTCGGCCTAAACTACCTGGTAGGGTTGTTGTGGGGGTTAAACGAGGGAAAGGAGAACCACCACATCAGCCACTTTGAGCTCCTTTGGAGGGAGAACGTGGGCTGTGGATGCAATAGATAACTAAATACAATGAATACCAGGTTTTTGGGGAAGAGAAGAAAGAAGACGAGCGCCAGAGGAAAGCCAGCCCAGGAGCGGTAGAGATGGCAGCCGAGACACTGAACTTTGGGCCAGAGTGGTGAGTGTGTGTGTGTTTTTATATACATTTTTATTGGGGTTTTTTAACATACCATTTCCAACAATCCTATAACATAACTTCTTCTCTTATACAATGTTTTAGACTTCCGTCAACACCCCTGATGATTTTCTGTTCTTTATCACTTATTCTGCATTTCCTAATTTCTCTGTTACTCTTAATTATCATTCTCCTCATAGTCTTTCTTGTAATATTTCAGATAATCCTCCTTACAGAACCTCTTGCAGTCCTACTTGCATAATCTGTTCATTACCATTACTTTTCAAATAGTTCGTATATTTACTCCAGTCTTCTAAGAATCTCTGGCCCCGCAGGTTTCGAATCCTTCCTGTTAATTTACCCAATTCTGCATAGTCCATCAATTTCACCCGCCATTCTGAGTGTGTGTCTTTTGAGGCTGTGCTGCGCCCAGAAAGGCCCTCTGGGGCAGAGGGAAGCCGGGGCAAACAGCCGACCTCCAGTGGGAAAGGAGGACTTGCTGGACCTGAGGGGTTGAGTGGGAAGAGACAGCTCCCTCCTCCCTGCTGTTCGCCTGACACACCTCCTCCCTCCTCCTCCCTCTTTCCTCAGGCTCCGCGCTCTCTCCAGTGGCGGGAGCGTCGCTTCCCCTCCACCCTCCCCTGCCATGCCAAAGTACAAGCTAGCCGAATACCGATACGGGCGGGAAGAGATGTTAGCACTTTACGTGAAAGACAACAAGGTGAGTGCCCCACGGTTGTGGGTCGTGCCCCCAGCGTGTAGGGCTGCTTGACCCGGGGCGGATGGTGGGGTGGACCCAGGTGCAAATTGCCTTCTCCTCTCTGTTTACAATCTTTGAATTGCTGTATTTTTCGCTCCGTAAGACGCACCTAGTTTCTAGAGGAGGAAAACACGGGGGGAAAAATATTCTGAATCAAATGTTGCACTAAGCCAGGGGTCTGCAACCCGCGGCTCCGGAGCCGCATGTGGCTCTTTTACACCTTTGCCGCGGCTCCGGGGCGGATACTAGCGAGGGGAGGAGGCGCATTGTGCGCCCCCACACTCCCCACTGTGGCGGGCGCTGTACTGGCTGTGACGTCGCATGGGGGTGGTGCGTGCGTTAGTCACGCACCGTCCCGACGTCACCTTCCCGCCCGCCCACCCGCTACATTGTAAGGGGCATGTACGCTGGTCACTGCATTGAAAGGGGGCATGTACGCTGGTCACTGTTTTGAAGGGGAGTGAAGAACACACACACACAAAAAGGTAACTTGTGAATTTAACGTTTATTTCTATGAGGAGGAGTAATTCTGAGGGGTCAAACAAAGAAATAATAAAAAAGTGACAAAAAAGTTATTTTTATAATGACGAGTTTTGCGGCTCCCAGTTTTTTTTTTCTTCGGAAACGGGTCCAAGTGGCTCTTTTTGTCTTAAAGGTTGCAGACCCCTGCACTAAACTGTTTAAAGCAGCAAATCAGGCAGTCCTTGTCTGCTTTGCTGCTTTAAATTTGCTGCTTCAAAGCGAGCCGCGGAGGGGGACCATGGCTCCCCTTCCTTGCCTCCTCTGTGGCTCGCTTTAAAGCAGCAAAGCGGACAGGAGCCGCTTACACCTCCCTCCTCCGCGCAGCATTTGCTTCATGAGACGCACAGACATTTCCCCTTACTTTGTAAGAGGGGAAAAGTGCGTCTTATGGAGCGAAAAATGCGGTGCCTTCCCTTTTGCTAAGCTGAAAGGGAACAGCAATTGTTGATGCCAGCTTGCCTCCTTTGCCCCACTTCCTGTATCTTCTTTACTTTCCCCACCCGTCTCTGAGATCGACCCCTGCCAGAGTGTTGGTTTCGGTCGGGAAGAAGCTTGTGTGGGCTCCTGACGGCTTCCTTTACGCGCTCCTCCTTCCACAGGTCCCGGAGGAGATCCAGGATAAAGAGTTCTCTGCCATTCTCCAGGACGATCCTCTGCAGCCTCTGGCGTTGGTTCCCTTAACGGAAGAGGAGCAGGTAAAAGCAGTGGCGATGGAGGCCGGCTCCTAGCCACAACGGCTGTGCTGTGCCCTCCACGGTCGGAGGAGCCGCGATTCTGAATCTCAGTTGCTGGAAAACGTAGGAACGGAGAGTTTTGCTCCTGCGCTTGGATCCTGGTTCCCCATTGGGGCACCTGGTGGGCCACTGGATGCTGCACCTGATGGACCCCCTTTGGCCACACCCAGCAGTCAGTCAGTTTTATTGCACATGGTCAAAGGTTGCCGCAATGTACTCAGAATCATCCAACAATTCAAAGAAAATATAGTGGACTGATACAAAAAATTTTTTTATCAAGACATTTCCTACTCTAAACAGAGCTATAAAAGTATCCTAATATACAAATTAAGACATTCAACAATAAAATTTATAAGCTAAAATTGTCACATGGCCACTAATGTATTAGAAATTAATGTTAATTAGTACAGTGTGCAATTATATTCGGAGTTTGGTGATAAAGATAGAATATAGCTTGATGTAGATAGGGTCAAATAAATTCATCTCCTTTACAGTTGGTGGCTACCTTGGCTATATAATTTGCTCTAATTTTCCTAGCAGCAGTTGCAAAGAGTGCTACACGCCAGGTCACATACTTATCTGTGTCTGCGAGGAGATATAAAATCATGTCAGAGGGGTTCTGGCCAGGGGACCTTGTCCTTATAGGTGCTAAAAAATCATTCTCTTGCATCATTGTATAAGGGGCAGCGCAAGATATAATGCATAAGGTCCTCTACTTCAGGACATCCCCTAATGCAAACGCGTTTGTTTGTTTGTTGGCATGCCTCTGTGTCTCCCATCTCTATAAGCAGAGTTTATTGTATTTAATCGTAACTCTGTAAAAGCTTTCCGAAGTTGCGCAGAAGTCCATTCATTAAAATAAGATGTATGTTCATTGGCCTCCCTTGAGTTTAAAATATAATGGGGCGCATGTAGATGTGTACTTAGAGTTTAGATCGTTTTTAGTTGCCACTGCCCTTATGGTTCGTTTAAAGATATTTTTCTGGGAATATAAGGGAAGCAGTCTCTTCTTACAGTCTTCGTGATGCTTTTGACAAAGCGTGGATCCAGAGGCCGCCTCTTCTCAAATTCTGCTCTCTTTCTCTCTCTCTCTCTCCCAAATCTGCTTCAGAGGAACTTCTCCATGTCTGTGAACAGTGTTGCGGTGCTAAGGCTGATGGGAAAGGGGGCTGGGGCTGCCCCGGCCGGAGTCTCCCGGGGGAGAGGCAGCACCCGGAGCCGAGGTACGGAGGCATCCTGGGGGCGGGCGGGTTGGCTCCCTTTCCTGAGAGCCAGCGTGGTGTAGTGGTTAAGAGCAGCGGACTCGTAATCTGGTGAACCAGGTTCGATCTCCTGCTCCTCCACCTGCAGCTGCTGGGTGACCTTGGGCCAGTCACACTTCTCTGAAGTCTCTCAGCCCCACTCACCTCACAGAGTGTTTGTTGTGGGGAAGGAAGGGAAAGGAGAATGTTAGCTGCTATGAGACTCCTTCGGGTAGTGATAAAGCGGGATATCATATCCAAACTCTTCTTCTCTTTTTTTTTATAAAAAAAGTAATATTTATTACTTTTCCAACAATTTAAACACAACACTACAAAGAAGGGGAAAAAAAAGAGAACAGAACAATACAATATAATACAAAAACACTACATAACACTGACACATTAAACTAACATAACCAAACAAGAACAGTTTAAAACACATCAAACAATTTCAATATATTGTCTTTCATTCACTTATTTCCACGACCTCCTCACACCTCCCTTTTTGTATTCCACTTCTATTAGTTGTTTCAGCAATTCCTCTCCATCTTCCTCTGTTTTCTATCCTATAATTATCTTGACACATTCTAATCTTATTTTTCCTTGAATATTCTATTAATCTATTTATACGTAATTCCTTATAACATTTCTACTAAAGCCATATCACTTCATTCCAACATTCTTCTAACACCAAACTCTTCTTCTCTTCTTCTTCCTGTCTTGCCACCTTCCCCTGCTCTCACTTGGGGAGGCGGCGAGTGGGCTCCTGTTTCTGAAAGCCGGTGCCGTGGTTTGAGTGCCGGACTAGGACCTGGGAGAGATCTGGGTTCAAATCCTCCTGCATGGCTATGAAGCCCGCTGGGTGGGTGAGCCGGGAGGCCGGTCAGTGTCTCTCTCAGCCTCACCTACCTTGTTGAGGGAATTAGGGGAGGAAGGGAGAGAACCGTCTACACTGCCGCTTTTGAGCTCCTTGGAAAGACAAGGATGCGATATAGGTCAAGGGACCCCTGACCATTAGCTCCAGTCGTGGCCGACTCTGGGGTTGCGGCGCTCGTCTCGCTTTACTGGGCCGAGGGAGCCGGCATCCAGCTTCCGGGTCATGTGGCCAGCAGGACTAAGCCGCTTCTAGCAAACCAGAGCAGTGCACAGAAACGCCGTTTACCTTCCCGCCGGAGCGGTACCTATTTATCTACTTGCACTTGATGTGCTTTCGAACTGCCAGGTTGGCAGGAGCAGGGACCGAGCAACGGGAGCTCACCCCGTCGCAGGGATTCGAACCGCCGACCTTCTGATCGGCAAGTCCTAGGCTCTGTGGTTTAACCCACAGCGCCACCCGTGTCCCATGATGCGATATACATGCAGTCAATCAATCAATGTTATTTTGAGACCTTACCTCTCTCCACCCCGCAATTAAATAGGCCGTGGCCGTGGCGAGAGTGGCTTTTACCAAAGAAGCATTGAGGAGGCAGAAGGGGCGTTTGGCCGCGGTGGGGTCCGCGAGATACATCGCAGCCAGAGTTGGGATGACCGGTGAGTAGGGGTCCCAGGGGGAGCTGTGTCTGTGGGTCGCTGTGGGAACCTGCTGCCCTCTTTACTTGCTCTGATGCCCTCTTCTTCTCCTGCAGAGGAGAACGACGGTTTGAGAAGCCCATCCGACGGGAAGGAGGTACGGTGATTTCCCACCTAGATCGCAGGGTGCTCAGCGGGTTGGCAAGATTCGTCCTACGCACAGTTTGCCCCCGCCAGCTTTCTTCCTACCTTGTGCAGGAAGGGAACTGGTCCTGCCAGCCCCCTTTCAAACGAGGAGCTGTTGTTAGCCTGTGGGCATTACTGGTAGCAGAGGAGAGCTATGCCCCTATTGAAGTGGCCTGCTGCTGGGGGCTTCGCTCGCCTGTTCTGGTTCTGGAGGGCGGGGCTCTCCATAGCTCTCTCACCATTCTGCTAACTCACCTGTACAGTGGTGCCCCGCAAGACGAATGCCTCGCAAGACGGAAAACCCGCTAGACGAAAGGGTTTTCCGTTTTGGAGGCGCTTCGCAAAACGAATTTCCCTATGGGCTTCCTTCGCAAGACGAAAGCCCATAGGGAAATCTCCGGGACAGCGGGAAAGCGCAGCGCGTCTTCCCCACTGTCCTCGGACCTCCTCCGAAGGCTGGCGGCGGGGCGGAGAGACCTCCTCCCGCCGCCAGCCTTCGTTTCTCCGCTATTTTGAAGGCAGGCGGGGGGGAGCAAAGACTTTCGCCCCCTGCCGGCCTTCAGAAGAGGTCCAGGACCTCTTCTGAAGGCCGGCGGGGGGCGAAGGTCTTTGCTCCCCCCTGCCTGCCTTCCCGGGAGAGCGGAGAAACGCAGCGTGTTTCTCCGCTGTCCCGGACGGCTTTTGAAGGCAGGCGGGGGGAGCAAAGTCTTTGTCCCCCCTGCCTGCCTTCCCGGGGGCTTTTAAATCGCTCCCGCCCGCCAGCATTTTAAGATCGCCCCGGACAGCGGAGAAGTCCCCCGCTGTCCCGGGGTTTTTTAAAATGCTGGGGTGGGAAGAAAAGCCCTTGGTTCCCCCCCCCCCCAGCCTTCAGAAGAGGTCGGGGGACAGACTGTCCCCGGACCTGGTCTGAAGTCGGTTTCCATAGGAACGCATTGATTTTCAATGCATTCCTATGGGAAACTGTGCTTCGCAAGACGAAAAACTCGCAAGAAGAAAAAACTTGCGGAACGAATTAATTTCGTCTTGTGAGGCACCACTGTACGCAGTTTCTTTTTGCATATGCCTTGCCAGGGAAGCGCTTAATTGCAAGGGGTGTTTGTGCGCTCGCTCGCTCCATCTTTCCCAGCTACTCTTTCGCACCTGGCCCAGGCCAGTAAGATCTTGGCTGGGGTGGGAGGGCTCAGGGGTACCTGCAGGAATACCAGGTCCTCAGAATGCTCAATCTGAGGTTTTTCCGGGGTTCCGCAACGCTCTTGCGGCCACCCCAGTCTTCAAGGCACCGGGGCTCTTTCAGCGGAAAGAGCTCCCGTCCGCCATTAACTGGGCGATCAACCGGAAGTCTGCATGCCATCCCGTTTTGCTTCATGAGCAATGTGTCTCTACCAAATAAGCTTGCAAAGATTTGACACAAATTAATTCATCAGCCTCAACTTGAGGGGTTTTGAAATAATTGGTCATAGAGCCTGTATAATAAAAAATAAATGAATGGACTTCCGTTACAAACCTTTCAACAGTGGAATGGATGACCTCGGAAGGTGGTGGTTTCAGAACCACATTGGAGGTTCTGAAACTAAAACTGGAGGGCCACTTGCCACAGCTTCTGCAGCTCAGATTCCTGCATTTCAGGGGGTTGGACTAGATGGCCCTCGGGGTCCCGTCTGACTACAGTTCTATGATTCCATGAAAGTCACACACACAAAGCCATGGAAGCCCCATCAATTTCCCTGCTTAAAAGCTGCCTTCATGGTGGGTGTGGCAGGTCCTATCCCACTGATTTGCGTCCCTGAGGTGGAACGGCCCTAATAGAGTTAGAAGGGACCCCAAGGGCCATCTAGCCCTACCCGCAGCAATTCAGGAAGCTTTTGGCCCAACATGGGGCTCAAATCCACGACCCACAGATTAAGTGTATTGCACTCTACCAGCTTATCTGCCGCCGTCTCCCTCCTTATTTGAAGCCCGGGCTCCGTTTGAGGAGGTGGTTCCCCCGGGGCGCAAGGAGTTTGCCCGCTCGGACAGCGACAACTGGCGCACCCTCCGAGAGGAGCACGAGGAAGAGGAAGAGGCCAGCAGCGGTGCTGTGGCCGTGGCTGGGGGCAGCTGGCGGCAGAGTGGAGGCCCCCGGCGGGAGAGCGAGCGCTGGCGGTCCGCTAGCCCAGGTGAGAGCCCACGACGGAAGCAAGCTTGGGGGAGCCGGGAGGAAGAGGGCGTCCGGTTCTGGCCCCCGCAGAGGCCGCAGGAAGGAGAAATGGGTTTGCCCTCAAACCTCCCTCTCTCCCCACAGACGGAGGAGGCCCTCGGTCTGCGGGCTGGCGGGAGCACGGCGGAGAAGGGCGCCGGCGGAAGTTTGATTTTGACTTCCGAGAGCGGGAGGACGAGCCGCGGAGCGGGCGCCGGCACCGGCACAACAGCGACAGCTTCGAGGACGACAAAGACGGCCTCCCCGAGTGGTGCCTGGAGGACGAGGAAGAGGAGATGGGGACCTTCGACTCCTCCGGGGCCTTCATGTCCCTCAAGGTGTGCAGCAGGTTCCTAGATTCCAACAGCGTTCCCCCAGAAATCGCTAGGGGAAAGGTCTCTGCTCGGGGGTTTTCCCCCCATTTGTCTTTCCGTCTATCTCACCCACACAGACACAGATCTAGGGTTTATCCATTGGGGGGGCTGCTCTCATCTAGGGGGAGAGAGGAGAAGATGATGATGGTTATTATTAGCTTACTAATTGCCTTTATTCCGGCAGGCCTTTGGGGGCTGATTGTTCCTTAAGGACCTGGTTTTTAAATCGTGCTGTGCTGTTTTTTTATTTGTGTTGTAATTGGTCTGCTTTTTAAAAATACAGTCATACCTCGGGTTGAAGATGCTTCAGGTTAAATCTTTTCAGGTTGCATCCCGCAGCGACCCGGAAGTACCAGAAAGGGTGACTTCCGGGTTTTGCCGCTCTCGCGTGCGCAGACGCTCAAAATGACGTCACGCTCATGCGCAGAAGCAGCGAATCGCGACTCGCAGATGCGGGTTGCGTTCTGCTCCTGTTACGAACGGGGCTGCGGAACGGATCCCGTTCACAACCAGAGGTACCACTGTATTCGTTTTAACTCTTGCTAAGTTATTTTTTAATTAATATATGAATGTGCTTTTTAGCTTTTTGTATTTTTAAAAATTTGTGTAAGCTGCCTTGAGGCCCAGTCTGGGGAAAAGACAGCAGGAGGATGATGATGATGATAATTATAATTAATAATAATAAATTACTCAGGGTGATGGGAGGTCATATAGCCCCTGCCAAGTATCTCTCTCCCCTCCTCTCCTTCGAGGTTTGGTCATTCCTTCCCTTACAGCCTGGTTCTTGTTCCTTCCCTTCCCATTGGCCACCCTTCCTTTCCCAACTGGATCCCTTCCGGACTGTGTATGGTGATGGGGGGCATCCCCGACCACCCCCCCACATGACTATTCTGTTAGGATATAGTTCCATTCCACTTTTAGAACAGGCATGTGGAGTTGTTGTATGTTACATGTCTGTTTACTTCCAGCACAGTCTGCTGGGAACTTCCGTCGTATATGGCTTTTGCCTATGTTTTTTGCGTGGGCACGAAGGGAAGCAGACATGTTTTCCTTTGTTCTAATGCCGAATAAACGCTTGTAAATACACCTTACATATGCCTCTGCCCACCACTTCCATTGTGGAGAGTTATTCACTCTGCTGATTAGAGCGTGCTCAAGTTTCTTAAACTATGAGTCGCTGATTGAGGCTGTGCCAAGGGAGACCAGAGTTCGTCCGGTTGCCGGCTGGTGGGCTGGAGCCAGCTGGGGGCCTGCGAATTGCCCCCACCTCCCAGGACGCATCCCAACAACAGGGTTATGGGCCCAGATCCACGGCGCTTACACGAGAGTAGGGCTGCTGCTGGCTGCTGCGAGACCCGGCAGAGACAGAGGTATGTGAAGCAAGACTTCGTAAAGCCGACAATGGCCTCTTCTCTTCTCCTTCTGCAGAAGAGCCCCAAAGAGCCGATCCTTGAGGAGCTGGAGTTAAGCTTCCAGCCCCTGCAAGAAGAGGAAGAGGAGGAGGAGCTGCCGGAGGCCAAGGACGGCGACAGGAGAGAGGGCGGGGAGGTCCCTGCCAGCCCCACAGACAAGGAGGGGCCGGAGAGAGGTGAGAGGTTGGAGGAGGTGGAGCTGCTCCTTGGACAGAGGGCAGGAAGGCTGTAGGCTTGACCCCCTACCCCCCCGAATAACCTCCTTCTGCACCCCTTCCCCTCCTTTTCTCTCAGAACGGAAGGAGCCCCGGCAAGTGCCGGAGGAGAAACTGCCTGCTCCTCCCGGTGCCCCGTGGCGAACGGGCCCCTCTTTCCCCACTGCTACTGCCCCCGGGGGTGAATGCGAGAGCGTCACGCCGGGGGTCTCGTCGAAGGTGGAGGTCTCGGGGCTGGCGCCTGGTGGCAACAAGGAGAAGGAAGCTCTCGATGGTATGTGGAGGAGGGAGGGAGGGGCCTGCGATTCTCCCCTTCTCCTATTACTTCAAGGGTTGGCAAGGCTTACCAGGCCTGAGCCGGATCACACCCGTGGAGGTCCTATGTGGGCTGGACCGGCGCATCGCGATGCCGGAAATTGTATCTGCGCATGTCCGCGGCACCAGAAATCGCATCTGCGCATGTCCGTGGCACCAGAAATCACTTCTGCGCATGCCCAAATGCCAGAAATCGCATCTGCGCATGTCCGCGGTGCCAGAAATCACTTCTGCGCATGCCCAGATGCCGGAAATCGCATCTGTGCATTTCCGTGGCGGCGGAAATCACTTCTGCGCATGCCCAGATGCCGGAAATCGCATTTCCGCATTTCCATGGCTGTGGAAATCACTTCTGCGCATGCCCAGATGCCGGAAATAGCATTTCCGCATTTCCATGGCTGTGGAAATCGCTTCTGCGCATGCACAGATGCCGGAAATGGCACCTGCGCATGTCCGTGGCGCCGGAAATCACATTTGCACGTGCCCAGATGCCGGAAATCGCACCTGCGCAGAAGCGATTTCCGGAGCTGCGGAAGAGAGACCCTGCGCTGTTCTGTGCCAGTTTAGCACAGCACACGGGGACTCGCCAAGCGGGTGGCTGGGTTTGGGGGCGGCTCGTAGGCCGGTTACAACGGCCTCCTTTGGCTGCTTCTGGCCCATGGGCTGCAGGTTGCTGACCCCTGTCCTAGCGCTTCCAGGGCATCACAGCTGACGGCTGCTTGACCGTCTGCTGCAGATTGGTGCAGAAGGGCGGGTAGCAACACCGTTAAACCACGAGGAAACCTGTCAGCTAGGGAAAGGGTTGCTGGGGGCAGAAATGGGCCGGGCTGGCTTTGTAACCCGCAAGGGAGCCTCCTCTTCTGCCCCGTTGTCTTGTTTGAGGGGCTCTTGGGGGACTCTCGGAGACGGGGTTGTTCTGTGCGAGGGAATGAACCCTCCTCCCTCTCCCACCTTCAGGGGATCCGTGCCTCCTCAGCCACCCGGCTCAGCTCAACCCGGCTGCTGTGGCTGCCCTTCCCACGCCGGCGCCCTCGTCCGCAACTGCTGCTGCTGCTACTACTGAATTCACAGTTGGGGACAACGAGGATGAGGACGGGATGAAGCACCTGCAGCAGGTGAGCGGGGGTTGCAGCGCCAAGGGAATCTGTGTTAGGGAATTGCACTGTTACTTTTATTGTTATTAGCCACTCTGAGCCCGGCTTCAGCTGGAGAGGGCGGGATATTCATCATCATCATCACTCTGGCTTGCGTGGGTTGGCTGGTTGGTTGCAGCAAACATGTTTTCATGGCTGGCTCCCACATTCAGTGCAGAAGCTCTGAATCTTCATGCTGAGGTGGGGGCTGCCCCCCCCCCAATTACTAGGTCAAGATCCCAGCCTTTTGGCTTTGGTTCGATTCATAACAGACTTTTAGGAGACATCTGAAGGCATCCCTGTTTGGGGAAGCTTTTAATGTTTGAGGGATTATTGTATTTTAAGATTTTTTGGGAAGCTGCCCAGAGTGGCTGGGGAAAACCCAGCCAGATGGGCGGGGTATAAATAATAATAATAATAATTATAATTATTACTATTATTGTAACACTTTTAGCCGCCCCCTCTCTCAACCAGGTAAGTGGCTCACAGCAATGACCATGGGAAAGCAGTCGGATTAACACTGGCTTCCTCAGCCTCGTCCCTCCAGATGTTTTTAGCCTACACCTCCCGTCAGCCTGAGCTAGCCAGGCCTGATGATGCTGGCGGTTGTGGTCCAGAACAGCTGAAGGCATCCAGTCAGTGAAAGCTGTATCTAAAGCAGGCACAGGCAAACTTGGCCCTCCAGCTGTTTTGGGACTACAACTCCCATCATCCCTATCTAACAGGACCAGTGGTCAGGGATGCTGGGAATTGTAGTCTCAAAAAAACATCTGGAGGGCCGAGGAAACCTGTATTAACGCACACCAGGTTTGTAAAGAAAACCTTTCTGGATGCTCAAGCGAAATTCTTTCAGTGATGGTGGGATAGCTAGGAGCCAGTGTTGCAGGTGTCCGACTCTTAAGGGTCACCCAGCTCAACCCGTCGCAGCGCAAAATATTTGGAAGTAGTGCGCGGGGGGGGGGATATCGTGTGCATTTCTCTGTGTGCGTTTTCGCAAGCTCACGACAGACGCGCATCATCTCCCTCCGCATTTCTCCCCCAACCCTCCCTGCCCCCTTTCCCCTCCACTCCCCTAGGAAGCGGAGAAGATGGTGGCTTCCTTGCAGGACAGCTCTCTGGAGGAGGAGCACTTCACCCAGACCATCGTGGACCATCGCAACACGGCCGCCGCCTTGCCGCTCTCCCACGAGGCAGCCATGAAGTGGTTCTACAAGGATCCCCAGGGGGAGATCCAGGGTGAGCTTTGCAGTGGGATTGGAATTGCCAAACAAAGATGTTCGATTGTTTTTGTATGCCGCTACAGCGGCAAGGCGTGGGACGCGGGTGGCGCTGGGGGTTAAACCACAGAGCCTAGGACTTGCCGATCAGAAGGTCGGCGGTTCGAATCCCCATGACAGGGTGAGCTCCCGTCGCTCGGTCCCTGCTCCTGCCAGCCTAGCAGCTTGAAAGCATGTCAAAGTGCATGTAGATAAATAGGTACCACTCCGGCAGGCAGGTAAATGGCGCTTCCGTGCGCTGCTCTGGTTCGCCAGAAGCGGCTTAGTCCTGCTGGCCACATGACCCGGAAGCTGGACGCCGGCTCCCTCAGCCAAGAAAGCGAGATGAGCGCCGCAACCCCAGAGTCAGCCACGACTGGACCTAATGGTCAGGGGTCCCTTTACCTTTTTCCAGCAGCAAGGTAGTGATGTATGGAAGTGAGAGCTGGACCATAAAGAAGGCTGATGGCCGAAGAATGGATGCTTTTGAATTCTGGTGCTGGAGGAGACTCTTGAGAGTGCCATGGACTGCAAGAAGATCCAACCTCTCCATTCTGAAGGAAATCAGCCCTGAGTGCTCACTGGAAGGACAGATCCTGAAGCTGAGGCTCCAAGACTTTGGCCACCTCATGAGAAGAGAAGACTCCCTGGAAAAGACCCTGATGTTGGGAAAGATGGAGGGCAGAAGGAGAAGGGGACAACGGAGGACGAGATGGTGGGACAGTGTTCTTGAAGAGACCAGCATGAGTCTGACCAAACTGCGGGAGGCAGTGGAAGACAGGAGGGCCTGGCCTGCTCTGGTCCAGGGGGTCACGAAGAGGCGGACACAACTAAACAACAACAGCAGCAGCAGCAGTAGCAAGACTGCTATTAGCTAAAAATTGGAAATCTCAAGAAATACCAACAATAGAAGAATGGCAGATGAAGATGTTGGACTTTTTGGAGCTGGCCGACCCGACTTGAAGAATCTGCGGCCGGAAAGAAAAGAAGCGTCAAGAAGATTGGAAGAAATTCAAAGAATCCATAGCCAAATATTGTAACATAAGATAATTAGAAGATACTTGGAAGTATCAAACAGGCTTAGGATTAGAACAAGAATTAATTGCAAAGCATTAAGGATTAGAATACCAATAAAAGAGAAGCGGATAGTAAATTGGAGGAGATCATTTTTATTAGAAATATGATTTTGGAGAACTGTTACAAGGTGATACAATGAAATTCCGTTAGGGGGGATTTGAGGAAGTCATTTAACAATGAAAGTTAAATTAGGTCTTGGAAGTGTTTCCCCCCCCCCCTTTTCTTGAGTATTGCAATGTGTTTTTGTTTGTGTGTTTTGTATGTTATTTCTGTTATAAATGTGGAAAATTAATTTTTAAAAAATGGGGGGGGGTGAGCTTTGCAGCCAGGCGGGGTGTGCCTGTGTCTGGATCCGCAGCCCCAATTCTCCCCCCTCGGATCACTGACCTGCCCCTTCCTGTCTCGCCAGGCCCCTTCACGACTCAAGAGATGGCTGAGTGGTTCCAGGCCGGCTACTTCACCATGTCCCTGCTGGTGAAGCGAGGCTGCGACGAGGGCTTCCAGCCGCTGGGCGAAGTCATTAAGATGTGGGGAAGAGTGCCTTTCGCTCCGGGTCCATCGCCACCCCCCTTGCTGGTGAGAGGACCAGGGAGGGGATGGTGGGGACGGTGTGGGGGGGGGAAGAGGGTGAGGTTTTTGTGTTTTTAACCGAGATCGGCGGATGGAGGGCAGTACAGCGGTGCCATGGTTCTCAGACTTAATCCGTTCCAAAACCAAAGCGTTCCAAAACCAGGGCTCACTTTCCATAGAAAGTAATGCAAAACGGATTAATCTGTTCCAGACTTTTAAAAACAACCCCTAAGACAGCAGTTGAACATGAATTTTGCAATCTAACGGAGACCATGGATCCATAAAATCCATGGCCTAGGACCCTTGTACTTACGGGACCGCCTCTCCCAGTATGCCCCACGGAGGACCTTAAGGTCCACGAATAGCAAGACCCTAGAGGTCCCGGGCCCTAAGGAAGTCAGATTAGCCTTTTCAATGCTTGCCCCGGCTTGGTGGAACGCTCTGTCTCATGAGACCAGGGCCCTGCAGGATCTGATTTCTTTCCGCAGGGCCTGTAAGACAGAGTTGTTCCGCCTGGACTTTGGCTTGGAATCAACTTGATCCTCTCCCCCTCTTTCTTTTCTCCTTCTGTGATGGAACTCCTATTTGGGGACTTCCCTGGCTTTTTTCTGCCCCACTTAGTACCAGTCTGGATAGTTGGCCTTGGTGAAGACTTGACGTTTTCATCCCCCAAAAGTTTCTGATTTGAGTTTCTACTGAAATGAGGCTGCATTTTAATGTTGTATTTTAATCTTGTTTTTAAGTTGTGTTTTAATCAATTGTTTTTATACCTGGTGTTAGCTGCCCTGAGCCTGGTTTTGGCTGGGGAGGGCGGGGTACAAATAAAATTGTTTATTTTTTGTTATTATTATAAAATGAAAGCAATCAACAATGTACTGCAGTCACACATTCAGTAGGTGAACTGGGTTCCACACAGTCACAAAAACAGAAGAAAGAGCCACAAAAACACAAAATAAATAGTGCAAACATACAGACCTCAGCAAAGCACTCAAAATGGAAGTGTGGTACTTAAATTGGAAGCATAGCACTCAAAACAGATATCTTATATCGTTTGGCTTCTGGAAAAAGTTTGCAAGTTCCAAGTTGTTTGAGTACCAAGGCGTTCGAGAACCAAGGCACCACTGTAAACACAATTAAACAGTGGCGGTGGCGGAGTGAGACTCTATACCAAGCCACCGCCTGTTGAGCCGCTCTCCCTCCCTCGGCCGCTTCTCTGCTTGTGACCTGGGCTGGTTTTGTGTCTTCTCCTGTCTGCCCAGGGAAACATGGACCAGGAGCGCCTGAAGAAGCAGCAGGAGCTGGCCACCGCTGCCCTCTACCAGCAGCTCCAGCACCAACAGCTGCTTCAGCTTGTCAACAGGTAGCCCACCTCGCAGGGCGGTCCCCTTGAAGGTTGATTCCCTTGCAGAAGAGAGGGAAGGAGGAAGGCCTTGGTGCATCCTTGCCTCTTCCTGATGGGCTGTTCCATGGGAGGTGATGGGGGGGGGGTGCACGCCAATCTCAGGAGGTCAGAATTGTTCCAGCAGCGGATGGGTTCCTGACACCCCTTCTCCCCTTTTCCTTCCTCCCACAGCAGGCAGTACGCCCAGTGCTCCCTCCAGCAGAAGGTGGCGGCGGGGGACCTGACGCAGCAACAGCTCACCACCTTCCTGCAGCAGCTGCAAGCTCTCAAGCCAAGGTGAGGCCTGGGGCCCCGGAGTCCCAGGGAAGGAGGCTTCCCAGCAGCCCTTCTCCCAAGCTCCTCACTGTCAGCCCAGTAATAATAATTATAATAAGGTAAAGGGACCCCTGACCGCTAGGTCCAGTCGTGACTGACTCTGGAGTTGCGGCGCTCATCTCGCTTTCCTAGCCGAGGGAGCCGGCATACAGCTTCCGGGTCATGTGGCCAGCATGACGAAGCCGCTTCTGGCGAACCAGAGCAGCGCACGGAAACGCCGTTTACCTGCCTGCCGGAGTGGTACCTATTTATCTACTTGCACTTTGACATGCTTTCGAACTGCTAGGTGGGCAGGAGCAGGGACTGAACAACGGGAGCTCACCCTGTTGTGGGGATTCGAACCGCCGACCTTCTGATCGGCAAATCCTAGGCTGTGTGGTTTAACCCACAGCGCCACCCGCGTCCCAATAATAATAATAATACTAATTTATTATTTATACCCCGCCCCTCTGGCTTGGTTTCCCCAGCCACTCTGGGCGGCCTCCAACAAAGCACTAAAATACAATAACCTATTAAACATTAAAAGCTTCCCTAAACAGAGCTGCCTTCAGATGTCTTCTAAAAGTAGTTGCTTTTCTCTTTGACATCTGATGGGAGGGTGTTCCACAGGGCGGGTGCCACCACCGAGAAGGCCCTCTGCCTGGTTCCCTGTAACCTCACTTCTCGCAATGAGGGAACTGCCAGAAGGCCCTCGGAGCTGGACCTCAGTGTCCAGGTTGAACGATGGGAGTGGAGCCGCTCCTTCAGGTATACAGTCTTCTCTCTCTGCACCCAGGGGTGTTTATGATCGTTCATTCAATCTGCTAGTCGCTTTATTTTGCCCAAGGCAACCGGAAGTGACTCACAACCACTCAATAATAATAATAATAATAATAATAATAATAATAATTCATTACTTATACCCCAGGGACGCGGGTGGCACTGTGGGTTAAACCACTGAGCCTAGAGCTTGCACTGAGCCTAGAGCATCCCTACTCCTGCCAACCTAGCAGTTCGAAAGCATGTCAAAGTGCAAGTAGATAAAATAAAATAAAATAAAATAATAAAAAATTCCTTCCAGTAGCACCTTAGAGACCAACTAAGTTAGTTACTGGTATGAGCTTTCGTGTGCATGCACACTTCTTCAGATACACTGATAGCTTTATCATGTATAGTGAGATAAGAATGCAATTCTTATCTCATTATACACGATAAAGCTATTTTTAGCCATCTCACCCCTTGTTTTTTCCTGTAAGACCAATTGCAGTCCTTAACAGCCTTCAACAGGTTTACCACACCTATCAGCCAATCACCCGTTCCCACCACCCTTCTGAGTAATACCCCTCCCCACCCTCTCACTATATATAAGAGTCTCGTGACTTCTTTTTCAGTGTATCTGAAGAACTGTGCATGCACACGAAAACTCTTACCAAGAACAGACTTAGTTGGTCTCTAAGCTGCTACTGGAAGGAATTATTTTATTTTATTTTGACTACGGCAGACCAACACGGCTACCTGTCTGTAACTGCAAGTAGATAAATAGGTACCACTCTGGCGGGAAGGTAAATGGCGTTTCCGTGCACTGCTCTGGTTTCGCCAGAAGCGGCTTAGTCATGCTGGCCACATGACCCGGAAAAACTGTCTGCGGACAAACGCCAGCTCCCTCGGCCAATAAAGCGAGATGAGTGCCGCAACCCCAGAGTCGTTCGCGACTGGACCTAACAGTCAGGGGTCCTTTACCTATTTTTTACTTATACCCTGCCCATCTGGCTGGATTTCAAAAGACTCCACATAGCTACATTAACACCAAAACAGGTGGAGGAGAAGGAGAAATTCACTAAAAACATCCCACCTGCTCTTTAGTGATTATTATTTTCCATGCTTTCAGCTGTTATTATACAGGTGAAACTCAAGAAATTAGAATATCGTGGAAAAGTTCATTTATTTCAGTAATTCAACTTAAGAGGTGAAACTAATATATGAGATAGACTCATGACATGTAAAGCGAGATACGTCAAGCCTTTATTTGTTATAATTGTGATGATCATGGCGTACAGCTGATGAAAACCCCAAATTAACCATCTCAGAAAATCAGAATATTGTGAAAAGGTGCAGTAGCTATTCAATCCACAACACCTGCAATGGGTTCCTGAGTCTTGAAATGGTCTCTCAGTCTGGTCCAGTAGGAGGCGCAATCACGGGGAAGGCCGCTGACCTGACAGTTGTGCAGAAAGCCATCAATGAGACCCTCCATAAGGAGGAAAAGCCTCAAAAGGTAATTGCAGAAGAAGTTGGATGTTCGCAATGATTTCATTTAATATTCTAATTTTCTGAGATTGTTAATTTGGGGTTTTCACCAGCTGTACGCCATGGTCATCACAATTATAACAAATAAAGGTTTGACATACCTGGCTTTGCATGTCACGAGTATCTCATATACAGTGGTACCTCGAGTTAAGTACTTAATTCGTTTCAGATGTCCGTTCTTAACCTGAAACTGTTCTTAACCTGAAGCACCACTTTAGCTAATAGGGGCCTCCTGCTGCCGCCGCGCCGCCGGAGCACGATTTCTGTTCTCACCCTGAAGCAAAGTTCTTAACCTGAAGCACTATTTCTGGGTTAGCGGAGTCTGTAACCTGAAGCGTATGTAACCCGAGGTACCACTGTATTAGTTTCACCTTTCAAGTTGAATTACTGAAATAAATGAACTTTAAAACATAATATATAATATTAGCTTGTAAGATATGGATTTTTTTTGTTATTTTTTTTGTCTTTCTTAGTTTTCAAATGTTGATTTTTGTCTGTTGTGTATTGTTATCTTTTGATATCTTTTGTGTTGTGTGGAAAATACTAATAAAAATCTTTTTTTTAAAAAAAAGAAATAAATGAACTTTTCCACAAGATTCTAATTTTTTTAGTTTCACCTGTATGCTTTTAGCTGTTATTATTTTTATCTGTAAGCTGCCTTGAGTCCCTGTTAGGGAAGAAGGTGTTGTATGAGAAAATCTATGTGATGATGATGATAATAATAATAACCAGATGCCTCCGTGGGAAACACACAAGGGGACCTGAACATTCTCTTCTCCTGTGGTTTCCACCAACTGGGATTTGTTCAAAAGCATTGCTGTCTCCCAACTGTGGGAGCATAGCCAACCATAGTTTAGCATCCATGGCTCGTCTTCCCGGCCTCCACGGGTTTGTCCGATCCTGAAGCCATGAGACGGTTGAGTTTCTCCTCTGCCCCCTAACTTTGCCACTTTGCTTGTTTCCAGAGCCGGGGAGCAGGGAATGATTCCTTCTATGAACCGATCAATATCTGTGCCAGATACCGGGTCCCTGTGGGACACACATACCTCAGCCTCACCGCAAGCAGGTGACAACTCGGGCCTCTGGGCATAATAAGAGTGGAAAGGAGGGAGGAGGAGGTGGTTTTGCTTAGACTTGGCGTTAGGCCAGTCACAGTTCTTGGAACGCAGTGCAGTACTTGTGGGCTGGGTTCAAATCCTTACCCCTATCCCCCCAAATGGGATTGTTCATCCCCGCAAATGGGATTGTTCCTCAGCTGGCTTGCAAGGTGATTGTACGACCTAAGAATTGCCTGATCCTGCAAACACCCGCTCAGCCACTTGGGTCAGTGGAACTGGCACTGCTGCAGGTGTTTAGAAAATGGATGGAAGTTTTAATCTGTTGTTGCTTTAAATTTTTATTCTTTTTGTTAGAGCATTTATTAATTTTCCAATAAAAAACATCCGATTAACATATCAAATCATAATCCAATTTTAAAAAATAATCCAATTGTCTTCCGAATTTAATTCTAATTTTACGACTTCCCACGATCTGAACGTCAAAGCAACTCCGAATCTCCGTCCTGCTTCTCACAATAGTTCCATATTTCCATATCCGATTTTATCTCTTCAAGCTTCTTGTTGCTTTAAATTTTTAAAAGTCCCAGGTTGCTATTATTTTTTTTCTTACCCGTTGTTTTATTGTAAAACCTCTCCGGAGTTTTTCCCCCCTCCTTAAAAAAGAAAGAAAGCGGTGTATAGGTTTTATGAAAGTAAAAAAAGAGAATAAAACAGGATAACTTCCTTATCTTCCAAGCCGGCTCGCCGCTAGCATTCAAAAAGCGAGGCGCAGGCTTCTGGATCTCACAGGGCTCTTCCTTGGGAATTACGGTTGGGGAGTTTTAATGTTGGTCTCTCGCACGCAAGCTAAACAGCAGCTACACGTGCCTTAGTCAAGAGTGTGTGTGTGGTTTTGAGCAACATTCATTCAGTCATCACCTTTCTTTTCCCATTCGTAGAACTAGAATCACCCTTGGCGTGGGTGGGTCTTCCATTTCCCCGTAGCTCACAGATTAAAGTTCAGCGGTTGCGAAACTTTTATCAAAATACATTCAAAGTCCACTGGGAGAAAAACGCGAGTGCAGGTAGAAGTGTAAGCAGAGTGGCAGGCCTAAGCTTGACTTTACACCCCTGGCTCCCAGAGTTGGCAGTGGGGTAACCTGGGATTGGGGTGGGTGTGCTAAGAGCCAGTTTGGGGGGGGGGAGGGCTGGCGGTTTAAATGACCACCAGACTCCAAAAAGCTGGGATCAGTGGATCAGGCTCGTCAAATATCAGACCAGTTGAATTCATTAAACGAAGCGGCTTCAATTGGATTTGAATAAAGGTGCAATTAATCGCCCCTGTTTTGAATTTTACCTTCCGGGGTCGGGCAAACCACTGTTCTGCTTTTTATAGGGTTGGGGTGGGGGCACTGGACACGACGGGATCAAACTCGTGATTTTCCTATGGCTAACGCCTCTTCTCTTCTCCCACCCACGGCCTCATATTCCCTCTTTTCTCTTTCCAGGCGGTGAGACCAGCTTATGGGATATTCCAATTAATTCTTCAACTCAGGGTCCAATCTTAGAACAACTTCAACTGCAACATAAAGTGAGTTGTGCATTGTGTGGCAGGGCTGGGGTGTGCGTGTGTGGTTGAATTGGGGCCTTCCTGCAACTTAGGCTCTGTGGCAGGGAATCTGTCTTGCACGCGGAAAGTGCCCCGGACCGATCCCCAACGGCATAATAATAATAATAATAATAATAATAATAATAATAATAATTTTTATTTATACCCCACCCTACCCAGCCAAGGCTGGGCTCAGGGCAGCTAACAAGCAATAATAAAAACAAGTTGAATGAGTACAACTTAAAAACAAGATTAAAATACAACATTAAACTATTGAAACATTAAAATATTAAAATGCAGCCTCATCACAGGAGGAGAAAGGAAAAAGAAAAACAGAAAGAGGGGGAGTGAATCAAATTGGCTCCAAGCCAAAGGCCAGGCGGAACAACTCTGTCTTACAGGCCCTGCGGAAAGAAATCAGATCCTGCAGGGCCCTGGTCTCATGAGACAGAGCGTTCCACCAGGCGGGGGCCACTGTTGAAAAGGCCCTGGCCCTGGTGGAGGATAATCTGACTTCCTTAGGGCCCTCTAAACTATGATTATTCATGGACCTTAAGGTCCTCTGCGGGGCAGACCAGGAGAGGCGGTCCTGTAAATACGAGGGCCCTAAGCCACAAAGGGCTTTAAAGGGCTTACAAGACCAGCACCTTGAACCCGACCCTGTACTCCACCGGGAGCCAGTGCAGCTGGAAAAGCACTGGATGAATATGCTCCCATGGCTGAGACCCCGTAAGGAGCCTCGCTGCAGCATTCTACACCCGCTGGAGTTTCTGGGACAGCTTCAAGGGCAGCCCCACATAGAGCGAATTACAGTAGTCAAGCCAGGAGGTGACCGTCGCATGGATCACTGTGGCCAGGTCCCCTTCAGACAGACTTCCCCGCCTGAAACCCTGGGGCCCCTCTGGGCAGGCGGCGCTGCGCTCGATGGGACCCCCACCGCCTGGTTTTGTTCAAGGCGGCTCCTTGCACCCTAACCGGCTTGTCCAACCCCTTCCCACCCCACAGCTACAAGAGCGGAGAGGCGCCGAACTCAGGGCTAAGAGGGACGAGGACGAGCGGAAGCGGCGCCAGGAAGAACAGAAGCGCCGCGAGGAGGAGGAGGTGTTCCGACGCAAGCAGGCAAGGGCAGCCAGCGCCAGCACGGCCTCTCATGCGCAGGTGGGGCCCCAGCCCGATAGCTCTTCTTCTTCCCCGGCCCAGGCAGCACCCCCTCTTCCTTTGGGGGGGGATTTTTTTTTTTTTGAATTTGCATTTTATTTATTTGTTAACATTCTTATATTACATCGGTAAACGTTGTCATATTACATTACAGGACTTACTATAATATAATTTCTGACACGTATACAAAAAAAGATTATGGTAAATGTCATATTACATTACAGGACTTACTGTACTATAATTTCCAACATGTATACAAAAAAAATTTATGGGACGTGGGTGGTGCTGTGGGTTAAACCACAGAGCCTAGGACTTGCCGATCAGAAGGTCGGCGGTTCGAATCCCCGTGACGGGGTGAGCTCCCGTTGCTCGGTCCCAGCTCCTGCCAACCTAGCAGTTCGAAAGCACATCCAAGTGCAAGTAGATAAATAGGTACCACTCCGGCGGGAAGGTAAACGGCATTTCCGTGCGCTGCTCTGGTTCGCCAGAAGCGGCTTAGTCATGCTGGCCACATGACCCGGAAGCTGTACGCCGGCTCCCTCGGCCAATAAAGCCTGACGTATTAGCATTGGGCTGTTGTGTCTACTATTTGGCCTTCATAGGATAGACTGTCAATGGTGGTATATAGGCTCATATTTTGCTAGTTGGGGTTGGGGGGAACGGGGGGTATCGATTATAGGGCAGGCTTCTCTAGGTCGATATGGGACACTGTCAAGTCCTTTGAGTTTCAAGTTTTTCACTTGTAGTTCTCTGGCGGAAAGTACTGTATAGGTAACTATCAATTTTCAGGGCTTAGCATAGTAGGGTATCTAATCCTAGTTTGTTTCTAAGCTTTTGTGTGGAGTTAATTCCCTCTCTCCTTCTGCCTCCAGCTACCCTCTTCCTCGTCATGGGGCCAGCAGTCCGTGAACAGCTCTTCCTCCACCCAGAACAGCTTCAGCATCTCGGATATCCAGAAACTGGGGGACGTGCGGGCCTTGCGGGAAGAGGTGAGCCCTGCTCTGGTGTGGGTTTTTGGGTGGGCTGGCCCTCCTGGATTGCCGGGCGCCAGGCTCACTTCTCGCCCTCCCTTCTCGACGCCTCTCCTCCCCCCCCCCCGCCCCAGTGCCGCCACCAGGAGCTCCTGAAGCTGATCCAGCAGCAGCAGAACTCTCACCCGCTGTGGACCAAGCAGAACGTCTCCATGAAGGCCCTGCTGGAGCTGCAGCAAGAGTCCGAGAGGCACATGCAGAAACAGCAACAGAGGGCGCAGCAGAGAGCCGTGAGTCAGCCCCCCCCTGCTCCCCCCCCTGGGGGGGCAGCTTGAGAGGACCCAGCCGGGCGAAGGAAGGAAGAAATAAGAATAAGAATAATTTATTATTTGTACCCCGCCCATCTGGCTGGGTTTCCCCAGCCACTCTGGGCGGCTTCCAACAAAGTGTAAAAGCACATGAAAATGTCACACATCCAAAACTCCCCTGAACAGGGCTGCCAGTTTACCTGTGTAAAGGGCCTTCGATGATGACGTACTGAGTTTCCCCAGCCGCTCTGGGCTGCTTCCAACAAAGTATAAAAACACCGTAAGACATCAAGCATTAAAAGCTTCCCTAAACAGGGCTGAGACCATCCCTGCCCACAGACTGTCTCGCCAGAGTGGCGCATGCTCTGGTTATCTCCCGCTTGGACTACTGCCATGCGCTCTGCGTGGGGCTACCTTTGAAGGTGACCCGGAAACTACTAATCCAGAATACGGCAGCCAGACTGGTGAGTGGGAGACCATATAACACCAGTCTTGAAAGACCTACATTGGCTCCCAGTACGTTTCCGATCACAATTCAAAGCGTTGGTGCTGACCTTGAAAGCCCTAAACAGCCTCGGTCCAGTATACCTGAAGGAGCATCTCCATCCCCATCATTCAGCCCAGACACTGAGGTCCAATTCCGAGGGCCTTCTGGCGGTTCCCTCCCTGCGAGAAGCCACGTTACAGGGAACCAGGCAGAGGGCCTTCTCGGTGGTGGCGCCCGCCCTGTGGAACGCCCTCCCACCAGATGTCAAAGAGAAAACTAACTACCAAACTTTCAGACATCTGAAGGCAGCCCTGTTTAGGGAAGCTTTTAATGTTTAACAGACCACTGTATTTTAATACTCTGTTGGAGGCCGCCCAGGGTGGATGGGGAAACGCAGCCAGATGGGCAGGGTATAAATAATAAATTCTATTCTATTCTATAAGTAATTTATTATTATTATTATTATTATTATTAATATTTCAGCAGCTGCTGTGTTGGGTTTGGGCTTCTGCAAACAGGTTCACGCTTCTCTTTCCCCCCCTCAGCACGGCGGCCACAGTCTGACCAGCCTCCCGTCGCAGTGGGGGGCTGACTCGAGCCCACTGTGGGGAGCCCACGAGAAAAACAGCTCCATCAGCCTCTGGGAGGAGAGCATGAAGAACGCCGGCCCCCTCGCCAGGAGCCTTGGCTTGAAGAACAGCCGCAGCAGCCCGTCCCTGGGGTGAGCAGCGGGGCGGGCGGACGGTGGGGCTTGGCCAGGGGAGAGTGGCAGGATCCGAGCTCACCCCCCCCCGGTCTCCTCCTTTTCAGGGACACGTACAACGCCTCCTGTCGTCAGAGCCGGAAGAAGACAGACGAGGAGGAGAAGCTGCTGAAGCTGCTTCAGGGAATCCACAAGCCGCAGGACGGTTTCACGCAGTGGTGTGAGCAAATGCTCCATGCCCTCAATACCTCCAGCAACCTTGATGGTATGGGGGGAGGCGGGAGGGGGAGGGGGGAGAAGAGGAAGAGGAGGGACAGCAGGACAGGGGCCCCCTCCCCCCCCTAGGCTGCCCCGGGGTGGATCACAAGGAGGGTAGCGCAGGCCCAGAGGCAGGCGGTCGACAAAACCCCAAACCTCGACGGGGGTTGGGATAGATGACCCCCCGGTGTCCCCTCCAGCTCCGCGAAAAAGCTGTTTTTCGGTGCCAGATTTTAGCAGCACAGTTAGGGGCGGGAGGGGGCAGTTTTAACGCCACCTGCGGGGATCCTTGCTTCGCGCATGGAAGAGGGTGGAGGCAGGTTGTGAATACAGGCACCCACCCCCCAAAAAAATTTTTTAGCTGGAAATTTGGAGGGAGAGACCCGAGCAGCCTAAGCAAAGCTGTGTTGCACCTGTGCCTCGCAAGGAGACCCTCCCTGGAGCCCAAAGGGGGGGGCCGTCCTCTTCAGGCTCCAGGGAAGGCCTCCTTGCGAGTTGGAAGCACTGTGAGGCCAGCCCCCCCCCAATTTTGCATAAACGGGGAGTCACCTGTAATGAACGGGAACAAATAAAGCATGTTTTTAAAAGCAGTCGTCCCACAAAGATTGCATGTATACAGTCCTTGGGTTTTTTTTTGAGTTGCGGATCACCGAAACCCAGAAGTACGGGTTACTTCCAGGTTTCGGCGGCCGCGCATGCGCAGAAGCGCTAAGTCACACTTTGCACATGCGCAGAAGCGCCAAATCCAGTAGACCTGAAGGAGCGTCTCCACCCCTATCGTTCTACCCGGACACTGAGGTCCAGCTCCGAGGGCCTTCTGGCGGTTCCCTCCCTGCGAGAAGTGAGGTTGCAGGGAACCAGGCAGAGGGCCTTCTCGGTGGTGGCGCCCGCCCTATGGAACGCCCTCCCACCAGATGTCAGAGAGAAAAATAACTACCAAACTTTTAGAAGACATCTGAAGGCAGCCCTGTTCAGGGAAGCTTTTAATGTTTAACAGACCACTGTATTTTTAATACTCTGTTGGAGGCCGCCCAGGGTGGCTGCGGAAACCCAGCGAGATGGGCGGGGTATAAATAATAAATTATTACTATTATTATTATTATAAATCACAACCCGGCGTGTGCAGACGCGGGTTGCGAATGTGCATCCCGCACAGATCACGTTTGCAAGCCGAGCGTCCACTGTACATAGAAAAACGCAGAGAGATAAAAGCCAAGGCTCTTCCCCCTCGTTCTGCCCCCCTGACCCAGACAGAGGCCTTGCTGTGTTCTGTTGGGAATCGTTTGTAGCTGTGACCCGGGAGGGAGGGTTGATATTTTCTCCCTCTCTTTCCACACATCTATGTAGGGAAGGATGGGGATCCCCCCCTTTCAACCGCGATAGAATGTGGCAATATCCTGTTTCTCCTCTTTTCTCTTCCGCCATCCTCTCCCCCCACCCCCCAAAACACCACCCCAACCCAGTCCCCACTGTGGTGGCCTTCCTGAAGGAGGTGGAGTCCCCCTACGACGTCCACGACTGCATCCGCTCCTACCTGGGAGACACGGTGGAAGCCAAAGAGTTCGCGAAGCAGTTCCTGGAGCGCCGTGCCAAGCAGAGAGCCAGCCAGCAGCGCCAGCAGCAGCAGGTGAGCGGCCCTCGGTTGCGGGAACCCGCCATTGATCTCCCACCCCCAGGTGTTAACATAGGCAGAAGAGGGCAAGGGAGGTCCAGCCCTGGTCACGTTTGACTGGAGAACAGGCAGCTCCCCCCAAAAACAGCAAGTTTTGGTAGGGTGGCCATATTTTGAAGAGCAAAAAACTGGACCCATTTGCTGACTTCTACTGATGACACTCGTTTTAAATACCGTATTTTTTGCTCCATAAGACACACTTTTTTCTTCCTAAAAAGTAAGGGGAAATGTCTGTGTGTCTTATGGAGTGAATGCGTGGTCCCTGGAGCCGAATTGCCCAGGGGCGAAAAGGAGACCATGCTTCTTTTTTTGAAAGAGGGAAGGGGCTGTTGAAACAAAGCCGCTGATCGTTTGCAGGGAGAGAGATAAGGGAGGCTAGAAATAAAGGAGGCTGCCTGGGAGGGGGGAGGTAATGACAGCGAACTTGCAAAGGGGGGAAACAGGAAGACCAAAGCAATGAGGAGAGAAATTAGAAGAAAAGGAGGAGCAAAACACACTCCAGCTAAGGAACAGACACTAAGGCAAACAGAGGGAAGGGAGTGTTGAAAGGAAACAGCTGATCGATAAGTGATCAGGAAGGAGATAAGGGATGCTAGTGATAAAGGAGGCTGCCTGGGTGGGGGGAGGTAAAAGCCCATGGATCCTCAGGATTTTTGCATTGGGTCACCCCAAATTCACCATCAGATCACATAGCATGTCCGTGGCTGCAGCCTGCACCAAAAAAATCACGCATCCACTGCTGCCTAGGGGCCGCAATGGTGCAAAAACCTGGTTACAAAGCATGGATCCACATGGATCCTCAGGATTTTTGCCACAGCGTGAACCACAAAAATCATACATCCACTGTTTTATTCAGAATATTTTTTTTCTAGTTTTCCTCCTCTAAAAACTAGGTTCGTCTTATGGTCTTATGGAGCGAAAAATACAGTATATATGCTATAGAATCTCTGATATATTGCTAGTAGCTAGTTAACTCTCGCCCTCCCAGGCTCCTCCTCCTCCAAGATCTTGTAGCTGAGCCAGAGTGCTTTTAGTTCGGCCACAAGAGAAGGGATTTATACAGTAGGTAGGGAGTTTAAGATGCTGCTCTGTTGTGATTCTCTGCTGCAGACTAGCTTAGCCGGGCGCCTTAGATGTGAGTCACTAGCAAAAAAAAATTGGGCTACTGTATACAAAAAAACCAAGCAGAAAAACCCAGACATTTTGCCAGATTTTAAAAATCCGCCCAGACCGAAATTTTAATCCTGAAAAAGAGGTTGTGTCCTGTAGCCCTTGTGAGGAGCAAAAGGAAGTGAGCCTCGTCAAGTACTCAATTTTATATAGTAAAGTTAAAGGGACCCCTGACCATTAGGTCCAGTCGTGGCCGACTCTGGGGTTGCGGCGCTCATCTCGCTTTATTGGCCGAGGGAGCCGGTGTACAGCTTCCGGGTCATGTGGCCAGCATGACTAAGCCGCTTCTGGCAAACCAGAGCAGTGCACGGAAATGCCGTTTACCTTCCCGCCAGAGCGATACCTATTTATCTACTTGCACTTTGACGTGCTTTCAAAATGCTAGATTGGCAGGAGCAGGGACTGAGCAATGGGAGCTCACCCTGTCACGGGGATTCGAACTGCCGACCTTCTGATTGGCAAGCCCTAGGCTCTGTGGTTTAACCCACAGTGCCAGCCACGTCCCTCAATTTTGTGTGTGTGTGTGTGTGTGTGTGTGTGTGTGTATGCATGTATGTATTTTAAAATCTTTGGCTGCCAGCTCAGCTGATAGGGTGCCTCAGTGGTCTGGCTCTCGCCTGCCTGCACTGAAGCCTGTCAATTACTCCTCACTCCTTCACCCGAAGATCACCGGGTGGTTCACAATGTAAGAACGCAAAATGCACAATAAAAACAGAAGCGAAAACAAAAGCTCCTCCTACGAATGCCGTTAAAAGGACATGGAGTGTTAAATCAGGCGAGGGCCTGGCTTTGCACACTGGGCGTTTTTGTCCGGTCTCCCTTCAAGCCATGCCCTTTTGTATACCTGAAGGAGCGTCTCCACCCCCATCGTTCTGCCCGGACACTGAGGTCCAGCTCCGAGGGCCTTCTGGTGGTTCCCTCACTGCGAGAAGTGAGGTTACAGGGAACCAGAAGGGCCTTCTCGGTGGTGGCACCCTCCCTGTGGAAACGCCCTCCCACCAGATATCAAGGAAATAAACAACTATCTGACTTTTAGAAGACATCTGAAGGCAGCCCTGTTTAGGGAAGCTTTTAATGTTTGATGCATTATTGTATTTTAGTGTTTTGTTGGAAGCCGCCCAGAGTGGCTGGGTAAGCCCAGCCAAATGGGCGGGGTATAAATAATAAATTATTATTATTATTATTATTATTATTATTATTATTATTATTATTATTATTATTATTATTTTGGGTTCCTCGCAGGAAGCCTGGCTGTCCTCCAGCAGCCTGCAGTCCCTCTTCCAGTCCAACCACAGCCCCAAGGCCTCCTCCTTCGAGAACAGCCAAGCCGCCAAGATCAAGAGGCGCCCGATGATGCTTCACGCGGACCCCAGCATCCTGGGTGAGAGGCCTGGCGGGGGGCGAGCCCTGGGCCTCCGGGGGTGGAGGGAAAGGGGCGCTGGGACTGGGGCTCCTGTGGGGTACGGGAACGGGAGCCGGGTAGTGGGAACCATGGCTGTCAACTTTCAGATTTGAAAATAAGGGATCAGCAGCCTCACCTGTCCCGGGGAGAGTCTACGGGATATCTAACAATCCGGGATAGCTGCAGGAAATGGCGCTGGAATACGGGAATTTCCCGCAAAAAGAGGGAAGGTTGGGAACCCCCTTCCCCCTCCAAAGCCCCACCCCAAGGGAGGGTCCCTAAAACTCCCACCCCAGGCTACTTAACCCATTTTTGTCTGGAGTCCCTTGCCTGCTCCAGTTCTGTTGCCTTAATTCCTGTAGGGCTGCAGTTTCCAGCATGGGGCAAACGCCCCATAGGGGGGCAATTTGATTTTTAAGGGGGGGCGGAATTTGGAAGCTTGTTTAGACTGTGGTTACCAGATTTTTTTCAGTGATTCCGGGGACACTTTTTTTCCTGAAGTTGAGTAGCAACAGGGAGTCAGTACAGTGGTACCTCGGGTTAAGTACTTAATTTGTTCCAGAGGTTTGTACTTAACCTGAAACTGTGAAGCACCACTAATGGGGCCTCCCGCTGCCGCCGGAGCACGATTTCTGTTCTCATCCTGAAGCAAAGTTCTTAACCTGAAGCACTATTTCCGGGTTAGCGGAGTCTGTAACCTGAAGCGTCTGTAACCCGAGGTACCACTGTAGTGTGGACGATGAGGCAAAAGACCCTTGGGCCAAGCACACATGCATATTGCATAAAGGTGCAAAGCCCTTCTTTGACACCCTGTGAAACATAAATCCGCAGGTTTTTTAAAAAACCGGGCAACGTCACGCCACAGGCCCGTGACTCCCAAGCCTCCCGCGATTTCCTGCCCCCGTTGTTTTGACAGATCAGGGGAGGCTCTGGAGTCACGGGCGGGCAGCCGTTGCCCAGGAGGGGCCAGCCTGGTAGCGCGGTTGGCTCTGGCTGGCTTCAGGAGCTGCTCACTGTTGTGGCGCCGGGAAAATGGCAGGCGCCACGGCAGCGAGCAGCTCCTGAAGCCAGCCAGAGCCAACTGCGCTACCAGGCTGGCTCCGGGCTGCTGAGGCTGCCACTGCCACGTTTCCCGGGGATAGATTTGCAAATCTGGGGGCGTCTGGTAACCCTAGTTTAGGCCAAGTTGGTGGCCTTTTAGGCTTCCTCCACGTGAATAGGAGTTCACTTTTTGAATAACAAGAATCACTGTACAGTCTTGTGAGTCTTGCGATTTTTTTCGCTCCCCCCCCTTTTTCTAAGCCGCTAAGCCACTAATAGCCGCTAAGCCTTTCATAGCCGCTAATAGCCTTTTAGCCGCTAAGCCTTTTAGCCGCTAAGCCTTTAATAGCCGCTAATAGCGCTAATCCGCTAATAGGGTTGCTTCGCAAGACGAAAAAACCGCTAGACGAAGACACTCGCGGAACGGATTATTTTCGTCTTGCAAGGCACCACTGTATTTTCCCGTGCATAAGACTATACAGTCATACCTCAGGTTACAGCTGCTTCAGGTTGCGTTTTTTCAGGTTGCGGACTGCCGAAAACCGGAAGTACCGGAACGGGTTACTTCCGGGTTTCGGCAGTCGTGCATGCGCAGAAGCGCCGAATCGCAACCTGTGCCATGCACAGATGTGGCTTGCGAACGCTGTGGGTTGCGAATGTGCATCCCGGACAGATCACATGCGCCACCCGAGCGTCCGCTGTATTTCCCCCCAAATGTTTTAAGTTTTAAATTGGGGCTCGTCTTATTATTTATTTCTTAATTCTGGGCTCAAAAACCGGGTCGTCTTACATATGGGGGCGTCTTACACACGGAAAAATACGGTATATGTCACAGTGGCCCCAGAAATTGGGAACCACTGCTATGGGTTTCCAGGACGGAAAGGGGAGGGAGTGGTTGGGGGGCGGAAGGATGGGTCAGATAGATTTCAGGGGGGGGGCCGCTGTCCTCCTGCCTGACTGGTTCCCCTTCTTCCCCTTCCAGGTTACGCTCTTCACGGCTCCTCGAGCGAGCTGGAAACGGTGGAGGACTACTGACTCACAGCAATAGGAATATCTCTTCGTTTTCATCTCTCTGTGTCTATATCTCTTCTCTCTCTCTCTCTCTCTCTGTATCTCTGCCGCTGCTGCCTTGATCTAACCAATTTCAGTTTCGGCTGAATGTGCACTGCAAGAGAGGCGGCCAGGTGCCCCCGTCCCAATCATCACCCCCCCTTCCCCTCCTGGACCGGAGGTCGGAAGTCGTGGGGAGGGAGCGGTCAGTGGCGGCAACGGTCAGCTGGACACCGGCCAGGAGGAGGATGTTAAGCACTTCTTTCCTTACGAGAAAAAAAACAAAAAACAAAAATAAGCACCTTAACGAACAAAAAACTTTTTTTTTTAATGCCGATGCACTTTATCTAAAAAAAGAAAAAAGAACTTTTTTTTACAGTGACTTGTTCAAAAGGAAAAAGGAAAAAAAAAGGAAAAAAAGATTTTTTTTTTTGCAATCGCAGAAGATTTTTTTTTCTATATACATATATATAAAGAAAATCGTTAAAAAAACCTACAAAAATTTTTATCTTTGAGAAGAAAACACTTATTTTTCACACGGGGATAAGTTTTCAGAAAACAAAAAAAAACGTGAATGGCAATTTCACAAAAGGCTTGATAAAATAAGACAAAAAAAAGAAAAACTTGAAGAAATGCACTTAGAAAAAAAAAAGGAACTGTGTTTTTTTTTTACCATTGTTTGGATAACTATATATATATATATAAATATAAATATATACATTTGTGTAAATACTGTTCAGACTTGCCCCGCACAGTATATATATTTTCTCTTACGAAGAGGCCATTTTTTATAAGACTTTTTTCTTCTGTTGTTGTTCTTGTCGTCATTTTTTTTTAAAAAAGAAAATTGCACAAATGCCTACCCTTTCCTCCCCCCCCCTCCCGCCCTCTGGACATTACAATTCTATCTGTGTTTTTTTGTGGATTTTTTTTATATAATCAAAGGGAAAAGAGGAGGGGAAAAAAAAAAGAGAACTTTGCAAAAAGAGTAATTTTACACTAACGTCCGAAGCGGGTTTGCTCGTACCAGAAGCTGCTTTTGCTCTGCAAACTCGGACCCCAAGAATTCCTGTCGGCTCCGGAAGAAACCTTCTGGCTTCATCCAAGGAATCCCGCAAAGCGAAGAGCCTTCCTTTTTCTCAAAAGCCGCCTTTTTCGAAATCTCCCCACCTGCGAATTACCGTACAAACCTTTTCTTTCCTGCGTGCTACAGAAGGCGACGCGCCCCCCCCCCCCCGGCGACTGTTTTGCATGTCTGCATGAGACGCACTTTTTTTCCTCCATTCTGAGATATAAGGAGAGGAAGGGGAAAACTCCGAAGGGAGAATTTGGGGGGCGCGTTGTGAGTCTTCTGGGGTTTTTGTGCCCTTTTTTTTAAAAAACGTGTACACAGTTGAGAATCAAATCGTTATTGAAAGTGTTGTCCCCCCCCCTCCTTTTGTTGTTTCGTGGAGAAAAAGACCTGAGTTTATTTACCGACGTCAGGAACTCTCTCTCCCCCCGGTGCACTCAGAGCAGAATTGAATGTATTGCATCCTCGGGCGACAATTTCGAAGCTGCAGAACCACGTTTATTCTTCCCTCTCCCCCCCCCCCAAACCCCAAAAGCTGCCTGTTACAAGATGGTGTTTCAAGAGCAACAAAGCGCTGTTTGTAAAGGGGTGGGGGGCGGATGTGCTTCCTTCTTAAAATCTCACTTTAAAACAAGGAAGCCACCGCCAAGGTCTTATTCGCGTTTTTAAGACTAAACTCTTCCCCCCTTCCACACACAATTGCACCCCGATTTAGGGAGCTGACAGTTCGGGGTGTGCTTTTCCTGTGCATATGTAGCTGTGGTTGTGCTTATGTATATATATATATATATATATATATAGTATATTTACAGATGATAAGCTTTTATATCTATATATATATATATATATAAATGTTGCTTGAACAGAGATTTTCGTGAGCTCGCAAGGAACTTAATTTTTTGTTCTGTTTACAATCCTCCCCACGCGGGTGGGGGGTGTCGCTGGGTGCACACATGGTACTACTTGGAGTTCAGAACCCCGAGAAGTGGCGGGGGGCGGCCAGGGGTCATAGGAAACCAATTTCCCTGCTCCCCCCCCCTTCTTAAGCCCCCCCACCCAACCTCTCTTTATAACCTCCCTCTCACGGAGACTCACAGGTTGAGGCTGCAGGAAGACTCTCATCGTCTTCCACACCTCGCTGGTAAACGTGTGTGTCGTTGCAAAAGCCCACCTGCTCTTGTTAATTTTTTTTTGGGGGGGTGGGTTTATTGTTGCGAACGCCCCTGGCCCAAGGGTGCCTCTCGCTCAGTCGCGCCAAGGTCTCGGAGGTGCTCTTGCCTGGTGCCATTGGCTCCTCCTTTCTGTGGCATTGTGCGGTTTTTTTTTAAGGCAGGGTGTGTGTGTGTGTGGAAAGGGGGGGGGAGAAATCCTTTAAAAGAACGCGGCTTTCCAGCCGCGACGCGAGCGACAAAAAATACACACACACACCCCCCCTCGGGAAACAATCCCACGCTCATGACCAAAACGCTGGAAGGCCCATCGTCGTTTTTGTGTTTTCAATCTTCTGATGTTCCGTATTTTATGTGAACGTTTGCGCGAGACCACAAACTCGGAAGGATCGATTGTGTGTGTGTGTGTGTGTGTGTATTGTTTTGATAAGCCCCCCCCCACTTAAATACTGTGATGTTTTTTAATGGGTCCCTGTGTCACAAGGCAGGAGGACGAGGCGATGGCTTGGAGAGGTCCGGTCCGCCCTCTCCGCCTCTCTCTCTCTCAAAGTAGGATGGAAGAAGGCTGCTCGTTTTTTCAGGGTGGAGGGGGGGTCGGACCCCCCCCCCCGGTGCCTCTGCCCCACTCGCTTTTACCTTCTGGTCAGTATTCATCTGTGGAGGAGGGGAGACCCCACCCCAGGCACCCCGAATCGAGGGCCGCCTCCTTTTCCTCTTCCTCCTCTTCTGTGACTCCGAAAGCTGTTTCCCCCTTTGGCGGCAGTGGGGCGGGGGGGGGTCCCCACAGCGGGTCAGGCCTCCTCCTGAGTAGACGTCCTCTTTGGAGTGTGCGTGTCCAGGGGGGGGGGGTCCCAAGGTGGCCAACTTTGGCATTATCCCTCCACCTCTCCAACGAGAGTGGCACCCGTCCGTCTCTCCCGCCAAACGGGCGATGAGCTACAGAGACGGCATCTCTCGAGTCCGAAGACTTGGTACCATTTCACCCTCTCCTCATTTATTTTTTATTTTTTGCCCGGGGGGAGGGGCGGAGAAGGATATCGCCTCAAGAATGTATTTTAGGAAAGCTGCTTCCTTTGCCAATCAAGGGCTGTTATCGTCGTCAGACCCTCGTATCAATCGCTCGCTTGCAAAACGGGGGGCTTTGTGCGTGGGTGTTGGGGGGGTGTCTTTTCCCTTCCCGCACCGTCCTGCCATATAATTTTTTGTGTGTCCTGTTGGGATATTTCCCCCCCCCTTTCTTTGTTCCTTTTGCACCGAAACCTCGGGACGGGGTTGCGAACTGTAATAATCCTAAGACTTTTCTGTTCCTTCGTGCATTTCTTTTTTATCAAGGTACGGGCAAAGTTTACAAAAAAAAGAACTGGCTTTGTGGCAGCGGGAGACTCCTCAGCCCTGACCTGTAATCCAGGGGGGGTCCTTTGTTGTTGTTGTTTTTTTGGGGGGGGTCTCAAGAGTAGAATGACAGAGACGCAGCCCCTTCCTCTCTTGACTGGAGGAAACGCCCGCCTAGCTCTTTAGAATAATATTATTATTTTTCCCCAGTCTGTGCGAGAGACTGTGAGCGAAACGGGATGCGCTCCCCGTCCGCGAAGGCGATCGGCGGATTTGCCGCCCCCCCCTCGCCCCCCCACCTCTTAAGCATCTTCAATTGCATAAACGCTTGATTTCTCCCACACACAGAACCTGTTTTGTGCGCGCATGCATTTGTGCGCAAACTTTTGCCTTATCAGTTTATGGGGTGCGGGGCACGAAAATGACCTTCAACCACTTATTGGTCTTGGGGTGTGTGTGTGTGTGTGTGTGTTTGTGTGTGTTGTTCTCCCAGTATTATCAATGGGTGTTTTTCCTTTTAAAAAAATATGAAAAACCCCGAGCAATAAGGAGATTAAAAAAAAAAAGAATTGTAGCACACGAAGAAGCTCAGAAAAGGGTTTAATTCCAGCTGTTAATTGGGACGGTGGAGGGGGGGGACTATTCGTGCTTAGGAGGGGGGCCCCAAACCCCTTCTTCCCCCCACCCCAAATTTATGTGGGGTTTTTGTTGCTGTGTTTTTCGAGAGGAAATCCACCAAATGTGAAGATGGTAGAAAGGGGTTGGGGGCCGGGGGGGCCGCAACCCCACAGCCGCCACTACAGTGGGACTCCTCTTCCTCCGCCTTTGCCCCCCCCCCCCCCCCGGAGGAAAGAGTCCGATTTCTGATGCCAGTTTCGCTCTACATAAGACAATGTTTTGGTTTTTGTGTGTGTTTGTGAGACACAAGTACTTCCTTCCTTCCTTAGTCGTAGCAGCAGCAGCATCAATGCCTTTCTTTAACTGATATATATATATATATTTCTGTGTATTTTGGTCTGGGGGGGGGCAACCATTTGGAATGTGACTATGAATGTAATAAGTGCTGGGGTCAACCTCTCCTGCCTTCCAGTGTGGGAGGGTTATGTGTTGAGGTTTTTTCCTTTCATTGGTATGTGTGTTTGCTTTGGGGGAACTTGGTTTTAATTTTCCCCACTTTACCGGGTGCCAGAAGGGACGGCAGAGTCCCGCGCGTTGGGGGGGAAAGGGAATGGATCGCTTTGCAACGTCGGCCGCTGGGACGGGGGAGACAGAAAGAGACCGAGGGATGCTCTGCGTCTCGGTTTGGCCATTTTGGGGGAAGATCTCAGAAAAGAGCGTCTCTCCCCTTTCTCTGCCGCGGCGTCCCAAACTCTCGCCGTTCCCAAAATTAGCGAAAAGCTTTGCGGGGTGGTTGTTTTTCCGTTGCTGCGTTTTCTCCGATGCCTTAAATTGTACAAATTGACTTGCTTCTGGGGAGGGGCGAGATTTCTGGCGGCGGCGGCGACCTCTTTTCGTTCCGGTGGGTGGGTGTGCTTCGATCGGGGAGTGTGTGTGTGTGTGTGTGTATGTGTGCATTATTATAATTTTTTGTCTCAAAGCCTCTTGAGCCAACCAAAGGGGTGTTAGAACTTGTGCCAGCTCCGAGCGGCGCGAGGGTTTGGGGAGGGGGTGCTGCGAAGCCGGAAAAGAGCCGCCGCCCGGACGCCTGGGTCCCCCGCACGCGGTTTCCGCTCGGCACAGGGGCCGGCGGGAGACGAGCGAGGG